GGGGCAGACCTGAGTTACAGGAACATGTAGTTTTTTGTTTGTGTTTTGTTTTTTTTTTACATTTTTTTTTGTATTTATATAAATCATATGCCAAAAGCATGAATCCCAATTTTCCAGCTTTAATAAAATGGAGATGGAAAAAAATTTTTTTTAATTATTATTATAGTTTAAGTTCTAGGGTACATGTGCATAACGTGCAGGTTTGTTACATATGTATACTTGTGCCATGTTGGTGTGCTGCACCCATCAACTCGTCAGCACCCATGAACTTGTCATTTACATCAGGTATAACTCCCAATGCAATCCCTCCCCCCCCAATCCCAGGAACATGTAGTTTTTATCAGACAGAAGCATATCACATTTATGAGCAAAATTAAATCAATTATGGGGGAGGTTTGTGTTGTAAAATTTCTTTTCTTAAACTGAAGCACATTTTCCTCAAAATACATCTAATATACTGCAAAATAAACACAAGAACAAAAGATCATTGTATACGGTAGTGTGGACATAGACTAAATTCACATCCTTTAAGCACTCTTATGAATCCTGTTACAAGCTTTTCAGTCCCAAATCAGTTAGTCTTGTTCAGCAGGATCCTGCCTCTTCGTCTACAGTTTTCTTTCAGCTTTTGGTCCTAAGCCGGCCTGAGACTGACCAGCCAGCCCAGCCCCCCAAATCCCCACCAGCGTATGACCTTGTCCAAACAGCCCTGTGCACGTGCCTGCAAAGGTGACCCTATGTAATACACAGAATCTGCACCCTATTAATCTGCCACTGAACATCTGGGGTTAATGCCCAGTATGATTATTTGTGCACTTCTTTTAACCAGTGACCACATGGAGCTTTTTATGTGTCTTACTGTAATTTACTTATTAATACCTTACTAATACCTTAGATAAAGTAGCCTATGTTAGAAATATTCCCTCAGTGGTTAACTAGCATGATCTCCTAAAAACTGTCTGTCTTTGTATTATTTTGATTATACAGGGGAGTCCCGTGATATGCTCATGGGGACTTGGGAGTGTAACGGGGCAGAGGGGTAAGGAAGGAGCATCTTCATTTACCTAGTTAGGAGATCCAGCCAAACTAGATCTCAGCCCCAGCTACGTCTAAGCAAAGGGAGACCACAGCTGAAATGCAAAGAAACAAATTCGTGAAAGTCCGCAGGCCTGGCTCTGGGACATTTTCAAGAGTGATGATGACTGTGTATGCAGTGTTTGCCTCCAGAACTTCACCCAGTGCGAGATGAAGGAGGAAAAGTCAGCATTTGATACATTGTTGTACTAAGTGGCCAAGGTACCTAAAATAGGCAGGACATAGATGAAAATCCACACTTATAGTGGGAATTCAGACTCCCAGCTCCTAAAATGATGCCTGTAAGTGTCATAAATCCTGCCCCAACTTCAGATTGTTATTTTGAACTGTTCATTTAGATGTCATCATTTAAAAATCGTATTACTTCAGTAATCACTAAATCTGTAAATTAACATACTCGCTTTCTATTTTGGCTTGAGTATTAAATTGTGACTCTGTCAAGAGAAGTGTAGTTTTCAAAACGATATTCATTTGGAAGAGTGTTGGTTTCTGTCATAGCTATCAGTAAGCAGAGAGATCTCATTTAAACCAGAGCCAGTAAACTAAGAGATTCAATGATACAATTAAAGAAAGAGTTTTATCCTGTTTTAAAATATATGTACAAAGATGTGGATCATTATATGATAGTAATCCACTGTGGTTATACTTATCAAATGGAGGAAATAAAAAGATTTCATAGTGAAAATGTGAGATTAGTGAACGTCATCTTTTCTTCGTGTTTCAGAAAACAAAGCTGCCCTCTTTTGTTCTTTTAAGGCGTTGTTGCCTTGCGGCACCTGGCACATGTAGATAGCATTGGTGCTCGTTCACTCCTGGCTCAGAAATCTGAATAGGAGACAGGCCGAGAAGAACAGGAAGGACAGAGCCCAGTCACCTGTGCCCCGGCTGCCGCTGCCACCACCGCCTCCACTAGTCAGACTACTTCCTCCTTTGTAACGTGCTTGCATAGGGGTGAGTTCATGTTCCTTGATCTGGAAAGAACAGTTCAAAATAACAGTATTTGGCAGTAGAAAGTGGAATGGGAAGCAGTGACAGCGTCTGCATTGGAAGTCTCTTAGCTCTGCAGAAACCTCCAGATGCTTAGTTGTTAGGAGTTGTGGCAGATACCAGAAACAGCAGCTGTACCTGTCTCCTGAATCCTACCTTCAAGGTCCTGTTAAAACACTGTCCTTTACCCTCCTGAGCCCCAAGAGCCCCCTTCCTCCCGCACCCCTAGCAGCCAAGTCCTGCCTGATGCTGTCTCAGACAGCGCTTGCTCTGTTCTCTCTCATGTTTTACCATGTTCAACTTTATAGGATAGGTATTTGTGCATATGTCTCGCCTGCAGAGCGAACCTTCAGATTCCTACACATGGAGGGGGCTCAGTGAGTAGGTATTGAAACAGCTGGGTCAGTGTTATCCAGGTCACCCAATTCCTGAAGGTACCACATGAATGATTAGAAGACACGGGTGTGCTGAGCACATCGTGGCAAAGTTTCAAACCCACTTTCTTCATACAGGGATAAAAGATCTCTGAATCAACACCAGTCATTTTAAATGAATTCTTACATACTGTTTTGTTTGTTCTGACAAATATCTATTGGGCACTCATTGGGTGCTTGACACTCCAGATACAAGAGTCCTCATCCCAATGAAAAATGCAAACTCCCAGCTAAGCAAATGCTGCATGAAAAGGGCTGTAAACAGAGTTCTTAGAAAATAGTATGAGCGCGTGAAGAAGGGAGTGGCCAGTGCTGCCTGGTAGCTCATTCAGGTCAGTGTTTCTCAAACTGGGGTCCACGTTCACAGGATGAATCAAAGGGAATGTCTCAGAGGTCAGCATTTTAAGTACCTGTTTAATGGTATCAGAATCAAACTGAGATTATATGAGTAACTACTGTCCTTCCCCTTCCTGTCTTGCCATTAAGAGCATCTGAACCACCCTAGACCCTCAAATAGCTGTGAGTAGCTGCTTCTGTAAGATAAACTTGGATTTTTTTTAAAAATGGCTTTCAAATGATACAGGAGCACTTAGCAAAAATCCAAGATGAGTTCATTTAGAACAAAAATTCTAAATGCAGCATAGCATATGCAAAATAAAACTCTGGTTATGAATAAAACTTCATCTTAGATTATGATGGTAAAATTCTCTCAATCCTAATATTGTCTGCACTGAATCATTCAACAAAGACTTATTGAGTGCCTGTTATGTACCACCTCTGTTCTGGGAACTAGGGATGTAGCCTCCAGCTCAGACCACCTCTTCTGGAGACCTGGAACCAGCAAGCAGCAAAATGCAGAAGTCGGGGGAAAGCCTGACAGCATAGCTCGTATAGTGATATTCACCACACATTCAGAGACCAAACGTGGAATGGCAAAGTGAAGCAGAGCCGTGAGATGATTTTCTGGATATTCCAGTTAAGAGTTCTGTTTTGGAGGGACCAGGCCCAAACTCCTTCCTGTGTCATCCAAAGAATTTAAGCCGTGCTCTGAGCCCTGTTTACTTTAACCATAGGTGGGGTGGCATGTTGAAAAGTGATAGGACAAAACCAAAAATAACCATTCTTACTATCCAGGAGAGAAATTAATCCCAGATCCTCACATTTCTGATATGATTTAGAAACTATAAAGCAGGACCAGTTTTGCAAAGTGATGAATAGGAGATCTAAGAATCAGCTTCGATAGCATCTTAATTCAGTGAGGTTTTTGTCAGACTTTTTTCCTAGAAACAGTTTACCAGTTGCATTTCTTCATATTAAAGTTATTATTTTACAGCTACCATGTCATAACCAACAATAAACTAAATGACTTAGTAGTGCAGGTTATGACTAATGAACTTTAGTCTATTCCACAAGAAGTTACTGAGTGCCTGCTGTATGCCAGATCCTAGAGAAAGTCTGAGCTTCAGAATCAGGAAGGGCTGCAAACTAATAAATAATTCTACTACAGTGTAAGAAACAGAATCATATGTCTGCTAAATGAACAGCAGGAACAGAGAGTTGTAGCCACCTCCATGGGCAGCAAGGAGTTAGGAGATGAGTTCATTTGGAAGGCTTTGTAAAGGAAAAGGTATGAACTGGGTTGAAAGATTCAAAGGCGAGTTGTCAACCTCATAGCATGCTGTTGGAGAAGGCGTTCTGAGCGCCAAGCGTGTGCAATAGCGTCCAAGGTGAAAGGCGCCTTGGATGTCTTCTGCTTCCTTATCCCAGTCAGGAAGTCCCTGCCAGGGAAGCAGTGTGCTAGCATCTTGGTTTTCCAAGGGTGATCTGGGACATAGTGTCACATTTTCCTCCCAAAATTAGGGATGGGGAGTGGATTTAAACAGCCTGGGAAACCTGCTCATCATTTTTACTTATTTTATGTATTAGTTTACAAAAGTTTTCACTGGGGGGAAAAAAATAGCTCTGCAGCTAAAAGCCACTGGCATAGTAGAAGGAATCAGGGGTCTTCTGGGGTATCCTCGTATTTGTGTCCTTAGGTGAAAGAAATTATTTAGTGTATGAGAAAGTGATCTATAACCGTACTGCACTGAGCGCATTTGAATTATTTCTCAATCATTTTTTTATGATCTCTTTGGGCTTTAGTTCCTTTGTTTATAAAATGAGGCTATTTCATTCAGAAGTCTCAACTCCCTGTTAGCTCTAGATTGATAGGATTTTGTGGTTATCCAGCCTTCTCGTGGCTATTTTCTTTCCATTGCTTTTGACAAGGCTCAATATTGCAATTAGAGCATCTTGTTTTGTAAGTTGTAACTAGTCCTTGGTTTTATAAATAGCAGATACTGGCACACAAAGAAAGCCAAGCGTGTTTTCGTTTGTAGGAGATGTACATTTCAGTAGCTAGTGATGTTTTTTTTGTTGCTCATGTACCCAAAGTCAAATGCTTCAAATCTTGCTTTTAATGAAATATTTATGTTCTTTTGGTAGCCAGAAGTACAACTTGCTGAAGGCTTTGATGTGTTTATGCCTAAATCTCAGCTGGACTCTATATTGTCAAACTACACTCGCTCAGGAAGCCTTCTGTTTAGAAAACTGGTGTGTGCGTTTTTTGATGACAAGACTTTGGCTAACTCCTTACCCAATGGGAAGAGGAAAAGAGGACTCAATGACAACCGGAAAGGACTAGACCAAAATATTGTGGGTGCAATAAAAGGTTGGTCTGCATCATTTCATTTTGTGGGTTCTTTGTTGAGCTTTGCCTTCATTCCATAACGATGCAGCTGAAACTGTAGTAAACTGACTAGTGGCCAATTTCATTTGCCATTGGCAATTTAGCCATTCACATGGCTTTCGGGGTTGAGCTCTGTAATTCACCACCCCAAATACCACTAGAATTCATTATTCAAGGTAATGTTAATTTGTTAAGATAATTAAGAGCCAGTTTGATCTGCTGCAGAACCAAAAATAAGTTTTTTCTTGACTTTTAAAATGCAGGTAATTTGTAATTTCTAACTAAGAGCTTCCTCAAAATATGACTTCAACTTCAATTTTTAGTTATGAGAATAAAGCTATGATGCTTTAAAAAAAAAAAAAAAGATAAAGTAAAATGGTTCTCCCCAAAGTTTAGAGTTGTTTACCAGGTTGTTGCTTCTAAAGACATTTTAAATCTAAGTGACCTTACTGTGACATCAAACCCTGTGCTTCCCCACATGTGCTTGACCTGCTCTTCTCCCTCTTGTTTTGTGCCATGGAGTCATACCAGCTCCATGCAGAGACCACCGTGGGTCTCTCCCTCTTACCTCCTTTGAGCATGCGTCTGTATTCCACTGCACTATGGTGACCACGCACGTAGGAAGAAAAAGGGGCACGTGGGAGCGCCTCTGCCTTTATATGCAGTGCCACATCCTAAACCTACTTCTCTTAACTTTAAAACATCCATATTCAGCAATCGGATGAATATAACTTTAGGAAATAGAAGTACTTAGTTCTTACCAAAAAGAACATAAACCAAGTCTCAAATCTAAACACAACTCCATGAAAATGAAACTCTGAATCAGGCCTTGCTTAAAACTGGAATAACGATAGGGGTGCTGTGCTTCGTAGCTCAGTTCCTGCATTGTTCAGTTGTGAAGTGGGACTGACTCAGAGGGGCCTTCTCTGCCCCCTTCTGTTCCCCATTATCTGGCAAAATGAGTCAATGAATTCAATAGTGTTTGAAGGATGCTTGAAAATCCACAATTAACTTTATAAAATAATACGGTATTTAAATGGAATTAGCAAGTACCAGGCACCCTTTGTTCGTGGCCAGAAGGACATAAGCCTTCATTAACAGAGAATTTCTCGTGCTCCATCAGAATTTTTTCACTTAAAGTGACAGTTGAGTTGTATTAAATACAAAAAGCTACAGAGATACGACAAACTGTGCCATTTCTGAAAAAGAATGATTCAGCCTGAAGTGACACTATAAACAATGTGACAAAATTTGAAAAATGGTCAGTGATGTAAGTAGGACTTCCTGAAGTGAAGAAGGGACCCTTCTCAAAACAGGAAGGTCAAGGCTACTGATGCTTTTCTGAAATACAGCCAGAAATTGTTTTAATTTTCTTTTTTTCCCCCAGGGCAGCATATTAATATTATGAAAGCATTTGGAAATTAGGGAGCCATAAATGACCATAGTCCATTTTAATGACGGTAGAAGAGTTATCCTAATAATAGATGGTAACGAAGTAGATCGTGACAAGTGGATCGATGTGGGTTTCTTCTGCCATTTTCCATCTAGACTGGACATCATGCAAGAGTTTGAAAAAACGTATTACAGGCCGGGCGTGGTGGCTCACACCTGTAATCCCTGCACTTTGGGAGGCTGAGGCAGGTGGATCACCGCAGGTCAGGAGTTCAAGCCCAGCCTGGCCAACGTGGTGAAACCCTGTCTCTACTAAGAATACAAAAAAATTAGCCAGGCGTGGTGGTGCACACCTGTAGTCCCAGCTACTTGGGAAGCTGAGGCAGGAGAATCACTTGAACCTGGGAAGCGGAGGTTTCAGTAAGCCAAGATCGTACCACTGCACTCCAGCCTGGGCAACAGAGCCAGACTTGGTCTCAAAAAAAAAAGAAAAAGTATATTACAAATAGAGGACACACCTTCATTTCCTTCACTGCTCTACTCTATAAAAATGGCAATGAGGTCTTTGCTCCCAATATATAATAAAGTAGATTATTCCAGTTGAAGAACTTAAAATTTCCATACACTTTTGTTATTGAATTAAATCTATTAAAATTCTGTAATAACAACCCAGTCACTTTAAAACAGATGGAAATCCCATAAGCCACCAACAACCTAAATCAACAAATAGTTTACATTTATTTATTTGCAGTGTTTTTATTTGCAGTGTTTATTCATGGACATATATTTTGATTTTGATTTTTTTCCTGATTACAAAAATAATATTTATTTTAAAATAGAAATGATTTAAAATGTATAGAAAACAAAAAGGCCACCCTAATCTCACTCCTCCAAGATTATGGCGTACATTCTTACCATTTTTATTCAAACGTGAATATGGTATCAGATTGGACTCTTTTATAAAAACATTCCATTCATTCTGGCTGTCTTAGAAATAAGACATTTCTACGTGACTTATTCTGATAATTTCTTGTAAGTTTCTTAAGGACACGCTTTGTCTCAAATATGTTTCTATTACCTGTTGCTCTTGAAAGAGCTCAGGAGATGCTTCCTTAAGAAATGCTGCTTTGGTATGCAGATTATTTCAAATTGTAGGCACCTGGGGAACAGCAGATGCAGGGAGGGGCTCTCTCTGAACTCCCTTATCTGCCCAAAGACTGATCCTCCAAAGGGAACTCAGTTGTGAACTCCCTCCCTGGAAGTGTCATGAACCAGTGAGAATTAACTCTCATCACAAGAGAGGACACTGGAGGTGACACCACACCCAGAGAGACTTTGTCACGGGCTGTCACCTGTTCTTCTGAGGGCCCATTCATCATTCCCCAAAACCATTTACTGTCCCCTAATTTGTCTGCTCCATCCTCCCTCCCCTCTCCCTATAAAGAGGGTATGTATGCTTCTAGATCTCACTCTTCTTTCCTGCGGTGCCCCTGTGTACTTTTCTCCTGTTAACTTACCCGCTATTGGTTTATTTCATAGACTCGACTGAACCCTCAGAAGGTAGAAGGAAAGTCTTCCCTCCCCTGCACACATTGTTGAGAGCTTCCCACAGACCAGGATTTCCATAAATGCACGTGGGATGAGTGAAGAGGCATAGGTTTTTATTTTTCATCTTGACTTTGATGTTAATTTATTGACATACTGGGTCTAGTACTAAACATCCATCCTCACATCTTCTTGAATAACTAATCTGGAATGACTGACATTGAAACATTGTTGTAAATTTCTACCAGTTAATAAAATGCCGATGAAAGCTAAAACATAGAAACCAAAATTGAATATAAATTTGAATGCAACTCTCTTAACTTCCTAATACATTTTTTCTTTACTATATTTTCCTTAGTTAAAAGTGGGTTAACCCACATATTACAATACAAAGTGATTTTCAGAAGTAGCTATTAATTGAAGGTCTTTTCTTTTTTAAAAAAATCTCTACCAATAGCAAAAAAAAAAAAAAAAAAAAATTCCCTAACCTGAGTCTTTTGAATCTGAGTACTATGAGGAAGTGATAAAATGGTTTCTTTAGGCATAGTAGTGCCAAGGCTATCCTTGCTATTATTACTGTCTACCACCCCTTGGAAACGATTTTGTAAATATTAAATATACAGTCTTTCTTACTCGATCTCTTGTGGGATAATGTCCCAATAGTGTATTAATTTGAAAAGTCCTATTTTCTAGGAACATATGAAGACTGGTTAATTTTACAAAATCTCAGAAATGAAAATAACAGTAGGAGTTCAATTTTGTTTCAAACAAAAGTGATTATTAGATTGGTTAAAACAACAATGGGAAAAAAGATGAATGAAAATCTATAAAATGCTTGTAAGTAGGAACAGAAATGGACTGGAAAAAAGTTTGTTTTGGGGATTATTGACAAAGCTTTTTGTACCGGTAATTAATAGTCCCCATGACAGTATCTTAAAAATAAAATATAAGCCTCTTTTGTAGAGATCATAGTTTTTACATAATCTCATCTGTATTATGGTGACTAACAATTAATGATAATTTTTTTAAAATGTATTGATAAGTATGACTCAAGGTATTGCTGATGAAAGAGTTTTTAATTAGAAACGTTCACCTGAGCATTATGAATGTAACTAAGAAGAAACAACTTATGATCCTACTAAGTAGCGTCTTAGGTTTTAGTGCTGGGGATAAAGCTTAGTATCCTGAATTTGATTCAGAATTGATTTTATAGCCAGAGTGGAGGTTAGTACCCAGGTATGTTTTCCTTACCTGCTGAGGCTAGAATTGGTCCACATCTAGTTCTTGCTGTGATATACTCAGTAGACCATGTAGATTAACATGGTTAGAGTTGTCTAAATATGATAGAATCTTTGAATCCCTGAATGATCTTCAGAAAATACAGTTGCAATGAAGCAATTTTTAGAGCCCCTATTGTAGGATTTTTAATTCAACTTCATAGTGATGAGTTGAGAAAGTTTTATTACTATTAAACTGTCCTGGAGTCTTGAATCTTCTTGCATTCAGTGGAAATTACATATGCATGTCAAGTGAAGACCTTGTCGGGGGTTCTTAGTTCACTCCACGCAGCACAAACTGCCACTCTCCTGAGAGGCCAGCCTTGATAGTCTGTCTGGACAGCCACAGGTATCAAAACTTCTCTGGAAGGGAGCACTCCTTGGTAGCCCTCCAAAAAAATAACTGTGCCTCTTACAAGATTAGAATGGGTGCCTGGCCACTGTTGCTGTCACACTTTCACAGGCTCTGCAGAAATGACCACCAAAACCTCTTGTTTTATTCTTGTGACTCTAGATACCTGTAGGGTCCATATTTGTCATTTTATAGTATCTCTGTTTCCATTAGGATTTAATCAAAAAAAGTGAATAGCTGTTTTCTATTTGATCTCATGTAGATTTAAATTAATATGGTTGGGGTGGAATTTGCATTCGATTTATTTATTTCTTGATAGTAACTTATCTGTGTTCTCAGAACTCCTTATAAGAACAAGGTTAAAACATTAGCTTGGATTTGAGTACCCCTCCAATGTTGATTATTTTATTTCCATT